TATAAAGAAATATTATTGTTTAAAATTTACCTCAAACTCATCATCCTCATTATCATTCTCCTCCAACTCCTCAAATAGATTGAAGAAATCTCCATTATTGTCAGAACCTGAATTTCAAATATAATAACAGTTTAGAATATAAATTCAAAAATAAAAATAAAAAAAAAATAAAAGAAATATAGCCTCAATTTAATACCTTTCGGATCTTTCTTCAACCAATCTTGAGGACACATCAGTGCTTGTATCATTGTTGGTCTAAGCTTGCTCCGATGTGGACTAATAACTTTTCCACTAGTATTAAAAACTGATTTTGAAGGTACAGTGGATATGGGAATGACAAACACATCTTTAGCAAGCATTTGCAATATAGGAAACCTAGCCCCATAAACTTTCCACCAATTCAGAATATCAAAAGTTTCTTCTACCTCAAATGGAACCACCCTTTCCTCTAAATAAGTATCTAACTCTGATTTCACAGCTGGTGCACTGCCTTTTGAAGTAAGGAATGTCTTGAATTTTTCAACAAAATTTTTATTACTAATCATAGAGGAAGATGAGGCAGCCACTAGTGGAGCATGGCTAGACACTTGCACACACCTCTCATTTTGGGAAGTTTTAGATTGATATCTATCAATTAAATCATAACAAAGCCTCAAAACTTTTTGCATTTCCCCTCTAGTTCTATCCCCATAAATTTCAATAAAATAAAACTCTATCAACTCTATTTTGTATCTAGGATCTAAAACAGTTGCTAGAGCCATAATGCCATGAACCTCACTCCAATACTTGTCAAATTTATCAAGCATTTTTTTTGCCATTGTTTCTATAACAACATTTCCACAAGTCAACCATGTCATCAATGCAATTTTAATTTCACAGATCTTTGGGAATAAATATTAGCAGTAGGATATTTATTCCCTGAAAACAACTCAGTGATTTCATAAAACAACTCATTGATTTCATAAAACAACATCAACCTACTAGAAATCTCATCGGCCATTTCCCAATCCTCCTCTAATGGTGAACATTTATATTGTGAGTCCCTTTGTTTCAAACGAGAGAAAACATCTTTATAATATAAAGCCACATGAAGCATCAAATAGGTTGAATTCCATCTAGTCTTACATTCAAGATTTAATTTCTTTGAAAAAACAATTTTCAGTTGTTTAGCCGTTTCTTCAAATTTCTCCTCTCTTTTTGGTGTTGTTGTCCAAAAAGCAACACTATCTCTAACCCTCTCAATTCCATCAACAATTACCTCCAACCCATCTTTGACAATTAAGTTTAAGATATCTGCAGAACAACGCATGTGTATCAAGGTTCCTTTTACCCATAATGAATCATCAGAAACTTTTCCTAAGAACACATTTACCATGGCATCATTAGTAGAACAATTATCTATTGTGATAGTAGACAATTTCCTATCAATATTCCAATCCATCAAACAATCTAACAAAGTTTTTGCAAGTACCTCAAAAGTATGTGGACAAGGCATATATTGGAAACTGTAAAAAACAATAGAAAGAATTACACTAAATATTCTAAACTCATAAACATAAATATATATTTAAAAAAACCAGAACAAAAATAACAAAATGTCACCTGATAATTCGATTTTGTAGCATCCATGAATTGTCAATATAATGTGCTGTGATGACCATAAAACCTCTCTTTTGATTATTTGAAGTCCACATGTCAGTTGTGATGCAATTCTACTTTGATTGACCTCCAACAACTTCATTGTTTTAGACTTCTCATTACGATAGATGCCCATGATATCTTTCTTGATTGTGTTTCTCGAAACATACTTGAACCTTGGTTGAAGAGTAGCAACAAACCTTCTCAAGAAAATATGATCAACAATTGATAGAGGTAACTCATGCGCAGTAATCATATATGCAAGTTCCCTTCTAGCCATCTCTTGATTGAAAAGTCCATGCCCAAGTTTTGTTTTCCCTTCTTGATTCTTTGAAGCTCTCAAAAATGTCTGCCTTATGTCAGAAACAGATTTCAATGGACAGACCCAAGTGTGATCACGCAAATGACTTGTCCCATTCTTGGCCTCGCCTCCAAGATGTTTATTGCAATAGACACAAATAGCTTTCCAATGGCCATTAATTTTCTGCCCTCTATAATGGTTCCATGCTTCAAAAGTAAGTGGCCGCTTATATCCTTGATCATCTTTTTTATCTTCACCAGTACCACTTTCTAATGCAAGAGGAAGAGGAACCATAGCCGAGGATGAAGTTGGTGTAGCAGCAGCACACGGTATAATACTTGCACTTGATTTATTTGGAATTTGAATCAATGGGGGGCTAGGCTCTTGTGAAGACATTGGCTAATTGATACCTAAGAATGAATTAAATTAGAAATTAATAGTTAAAAACACTAAAGCACAAAGCACTAAAGCACAAAAATTAAATTAGAAATTACTATTTATGCACCCCCACTTTGGTATACCCATGGACTGTGCCAACCAATATTTCCCATCGGGTTTTCCTATTTGGGGACAATCCATGATATGCAAGATGCAAATGCATGCAATGCTTAGCTATAGTGAGTATAAAACACTAAAATTACTAGTTAAAAATACTTAAGCACTAAAACACAAAAATTAAATTAAAAATTACTAATTAAAAACACTAAAGCACCTAAGCACAAAAATTAAATTATACTAGTTAGAAACACTAAAGCAAAGCACAAAAACGGTAGCTTCAAAAACTGCATCTAATTGATACCTGAAGTTGGACATTTTGAAAAGAATTCGAGGTAGAGTTGCAGAGGAGGAAGCCACGCGAAAAGAGAATGCTGACTTGCAATGATGGGCTAACGACATGGTGACACGGTGCCACGGTGAGGGGCGGGCTGAGATGACCTAGCGGCAGCCTTGGAGCTCAGCTGGAGGTGAGCGGCGAGTGTTGCAAGGCAGCAGGGGCCAGGGTTGTAGTGACGGTAAGGTTGAGAGCTTAAGGGAATCACTATGTAGGTCTGTGAGAGGCGGGCTGAGATGACCCAGCGGCAGCCTTGGAGCTCAGCTGGAGGTGAGCAGCAAGCGTTGCAGGGCAGCAGGGGCTAGGGGTTGTAGTGACGGCGAGGTTGAAAGCTGAAGGGAATCACTGTGAAGGTCCGTGGAGATGAGGGCAGATTTTGAGCAAGAGTGTGGCAGAGGACTAGAGGAGAGGAAACTCAGAGATTGACTGGAGAGACCGATTGAGAGATAGCATGGTGAGTCGGTGAGAGGTTGAGAGCTAAAGGGAAGCGATCCGTGGAGACAACGGCAGAGTTTGAGCAAGAGTGTGGCAGAGGACTAGAGGAGAGACCGACGCTGACCGAGAGAGGAATAAGGAATCCCAATTCCCAAATTCGCAATTTGCAATTGCAAGAAGCGGCAAGCAAAAGATAGACTGAGTGAAATGTCCTTCTGCTAGGGTTATATGTAAATTGGGGCTGGTAAATTGGGGCTGGACAATTAGGTGCTGGATTATTAGATTCACAAAAAAAATTGGGTTGGGCTGAGAATTGGGTTTGAAAAAATTGAAAAAAGAATGAGTTGTGAAATTTAAGTTATGTTGGTATTGGGTTAGTTAATTAAATTGGATAAATAAAAATTAATTGCTAATATATGTACAAAAAATATATATATAAATAAATTTATATATTTTTTATTTTATATGGATCCCCACGGTTCCTCACGGGGTGGAGAAAATTCCCCGTGAAATTTCACAAGTGAAAAATTGCCTCCATCCCCACCCCACAGGTAGAAATATTCTGAGAATCTCCATCCTCGTGGCGGGTATCTTCGAGAAGCTCTGCGGGCCGTGGAGAAAATTGCCATCCTTAGGGATTTCCTCTCCACCTTACCTATTAACATTCAATTTTTTTTGAGAAAATTAACAAGAAAATAATTTTTTATAAACTTTTTTATATCAAGAAAGTCAATTGATTATAAATTTTAAAAAAATGTTTTCTCAAATGTTTGGTAGTAGGTTTAAATCCCTCCTCTCCGTATTTGTACCTGTTCCAAAAAAAAAAAAAAAAAAAAAAAAAGAAAAAGAAAGCAGAAGAAGAAGAAAGAAAAAAGATTAATGTAACATGCGTCTAAGCTGATCAGGACCTAATGGTTAAAAAAATAAAAGAACAGAGCTGATATGGGGATATATTATTCCCCATTTCTCAACTTGGCCGGAGTTTCAAATTCCGCGGTAATTGGATTCGGACGGCAAACGTTGTACCCCTGATTTTTCTTTCCTATTCAATTCACTTCACCTTCCCACGAAGCGTTCTTCCTATTTTTCCTTCTTTCTCTTGAAGTCTAGAACCAAATCGAAAGTTGTCGTCTTTGTGCTTGGGCGCCTGAAATGTCTTTCGGGCAAAGAAGGTCTGCAAATCCTGCAGCCATGCTGGCTTCTCTCATGTACAAGAGAGAAAAGCTCCAAGAAGAGCTCCGCAGCATCGAAAACCAGGTGCTTTTTTTCCCTATGTAGTGTTGATGAGGAAAGGAAGTCAGTAGAGTATTAGACTATTAGTACTAGAAAAAGCTTGGTTGATAAGATATTTTAGTGTCCTAATAGGTATTGAAAAATCACATCTTTTTTTAGATTAGTATCATATTTCTTATGCTGTTTTCCTGATCTGAAGTTGTTTTGCATGTTGTAGGTGTATGAATTAGAGACCAAATGTTTGGCATTGAAAGGACTAGAAGGGTTTCTTTCTTCCTCCAAGAACGCAACCAAGTAAACTTTCATATAGCTATGAAACTACCCAATCCTAGTCCATTTCCACAGTGTCACTAGTACTGATAGTTGGTCACATATCATTGTTTCTGCTGCAAGTTAAACTTGGTTCTTGACTCTATATTGGAAGAACATTTTACTAGATCCTTAAAATCATCACTTAAGGTAAACTGCTTTCCTAATTTGCATAGTTGCAACGGAAGTCTTTTACCCCAATAGAAAATTAGTAAACAACTTTATATGTGAAATTATATCTGTTGCTAGTTTGCTGCAGCACAGTTGTGCCTCATATTCTGGGATCTCACCAGACACCGTAATTGGTAAAGAGACCCCAATTGAGTACTGCTGCTGTTCAGCAAATTTTTGTGAAGAGTATTCATCTAAATTGTTTTGTAACTTCAGGAAATTTCAGCCAGAAGACAGAATTTTCTCATTGTCATCAGTTACCTCATCAGTGGTATGTTGCAACTTCCGAGTATCAATGCTGTGTAACTGTTTCTTTCTACCTCCAAGTTTATTCTTTTCTCCGTTTCTCGTTTTATCTGTTCATTATCCTGTATAGACTATATTGCTGGACTAGGTTATCACTTATTGGGAACTTATAATTAGTTTATATTGCAAATGTTTAATCAGAATAAACACTGACTTTTGAACTTGTGGAGAACAACTTTTGTTAAGTATCTTTGCTTTAATTTTATGTAGAATTCTTGTGGAAAAACCACATGTATGATCTATGCTGGACTTTTCAGTCATAAAGATAACTTATTTACTCACTACAATTGTGCATATTAATGATATATCAATCATATACATAATGTCCAAATATAACATATTTATACATAGAAGATATCTCCCTTTGAAGGCATTGGAATTTGAGTGGAGTTCCAGTTAGTAGTTTGAGTTTAGTAAGTTAGGAGCCTAGGAAAGAAAATCGACTTTAATCTTATAATGGTGCCAGTTTAAGAACACTGAAGGCCCTTCATTGCTTACTCCTTATTCCTTTCTTGATATGATGGCTGGGAAACCAGGTATCCTCTTCAAATCCCACCTCACTACATAAACCAAGAGTTATATTTCAAATGAAGTTGGAGGTACCGAGCTGCCAATGGAGCATGCTCCAATGGTGGTGTTCACTGACATCAGAGCATATATACTATTATGAAGTCAAACCTCATCTTTTTAGGACTTTGGGAATCCATGCTCATATTTTCTTTACATCAGAGCATTTCCTTGAATTCTCCAGCAAATTATGTCTGGTTCAACTGTCTATCACCACCATTTGATCTACTTGTGGCATGTTAATGTTTCTCAAGCTTAATGTCCATTGCCTTAGCCTAGTGTGTGCTGCCTGTGGCATAATAAATCTTTTCTTAAGCTAATTGTGATTTATGTTGCCTAAAAAACCAATACTTGTATTTGGTGATGAAGGGAATTGGCATCGTTTATAATTAAACTCCTATCTGCTAACTATTTCAATTGTCATCAGTTTATCTAGTCTCACCATGGTTTATAATGTATGTACCTTCCTATTTTGTTTTCTCTAACAGAAAGCACTAATGCAACATGGTCTTGACGAGACTATGTCTCAAAAGGGTCTTCAACAAGATTGTAACCCCTGATTCATTATCTTGTTGATCTTCTTTTTTGCTCCAAAAATAATAATAGCAGAAATAGAAAAGGTTTAACATTCATTATCATTTATCCTCTGTTTGTTGCAGATGGAAGATCGGATATTAGCCCAGGTCGTCCTAAGGTTGGAGCCATGCCTGTCAATGGCCGCTAAGTTCCCATCTTAATTATTCAAGTTCTAAAAGCAGCTAACTTTGAAGAGAAATGAGGATACAAGATTAAGTTTCCGATTTAGGAACCATTCCACAATCATGTAAAAATTTTACAAATGTATCAGTTCATAATGGAAGAACTTTTTCTTTAGAGGTAAGCCAAAAGAAGGGAAGAACCCTGACGACACCAAGAGAAGGAAGGAGAATCAGACAATCGGGTGAACCTAATTTTGATGATGAAGATGATCCTGATATGAGCTTCATATGAAAGACTTCCTGATGTTACCTTAAATTAGCTTTGAGGGGTTCAAGAGATTGATCAGAGAAATTCTGCTTAGTGTTCAGTCCATGTAGCGTAGCATTTAGATCATGCTGATAAGAATCCTTTAATCATGCTCAAGTTTGTGGAAAAATTAGATGCATGTTTATGTGTCTGAACCTGAATCTGTGAATCCATGATGTCGGTTTGAAATTCAAGCATTGCTTACCCAAATCTGAAACAGCAACATAGCCACTGCCTTTCGTTTCAACTAAGTAATGTTTTTTTTTTCTTTCCCAGTGTTGAAAGAAAATATTCATATCCTTATGACTTTGAAATTGAAACTCATCACGAAAAAAGTGGATGATATCATATCTCTTTGACATTTTAGACTTCAGTCATGAGTTTATATATATTTTTATTAAGATCTTTATGACCAACATAAGGCAAAATTATCTTTTTCTTCTAGGTTACTTGAAAAATTAAAAAAGAAAAAAAAGTCCAACTTACGAAAATCTAATTCAAATTTGAAAAATAACCAAATGATTTATTAGTTTAAATGAAAAAAATTTAATTATTCTTAAATAAAATTTCAAGTTCAAGTTTTATAAATAAAAAAATAAATGCAAATAAAATATTTATTCAGTTATCTTTTACCAGTTAAGATTTGATTTTTCCAACAACATGACAATATAATTCTTTATAAATTACGAGTTCCCAAATCTTGAAAATTAATACATGTATTGACCAAATAAAAAAAGAGGCATTACTACATGTTTTCTAGTAAGGATTGTAAAGGTGACTTAACATGATGGTCTACATTGAATTAAGATACAACTTGACCGCGCCAAAACTACAAATGAGAAGGAAAGAAAATAAGCTAGCATGCCATATTTTTTCATGGAATGGTGAAATACAATTCAACAATGAGGATTAGGTAAAACGGTAGAACTCAATCAATAAGATATATATTTTATTTATTGAAAAAATGAGTTTGAATAACTTTTCTAAGAAGTTAGCGAGTGAAGCAATTTTTATTAAACAAGATAATGTTATTGTCACACTTTTAATTATTAATATCACAATTCTTAATTTTTAATATTTAATTGAAAATCATACCCTATAAACCTTTGTTAAGAAGATATAACAAATTTGGTTCTTTTCTTCAATGTCTAAACGGGAAGCAAGCACCACCCAGGTCTTGTGTTATTCAGCTGTCTTCTTTAAAAGGAGAGGCAATTAATTAACTCAGATAGTCAGATTCAAGATTGAATTAGCAAAAAGAAAAGTTAGAGCCGTGTAATTTGTGAAAGCCCCCATGTCCTAAACAATTTCAAATCACAGTTGGGTCTTAGAATTGCAGGAATTTCACTCTTTTCTCCTTGCTCTCCCCCCTCAGCCTCCGTATTCCCTGCTCGGTTCATTAGCTGGCGACTTAACCATCCCCTCCTTCAATATTCAACCAAAATTTTAACACTTTCTTTTGGTCTTTTCAATAAACATTTGGTATGCATTTCTGCTCTTGTATTTCTAAACAAACTTTCACCTCCATTGGAAACCCTTTTTCGCTATTCCTTCAAGTCCTGTACCGTCGCCATACCCGATGCCACATGGTAAACATTGCACCGCCTTTGAAATATAAAATCATACCGTCAACAAACCCACGATCCAAAAAAAACAATAAAAATGTCTATTAGATTTTGACTAAGTGGATATATAAACATTCGATCAAATGAGCTAGATTATTGGGGTTTTATTGAAGATTAAATTAATTAAAGAGAGAGATAAAGAATCCCTAGAAAAATTCTTCTACAGAGGTGACAGCCGAGAAATGGAAAAGGTTAAGGAACAATGACAAAAGAGTAAGAGTGAAATTTCTACATTATTTTTTTATATTACATGATATACTTATTAAAAATTATTATTTTTAATTTAAAATTAAAAATAAATAAATTTAAAAATATAATTATACATATAATATATAAAAATTAACTATATTAATTATATTTATATTATATTTTAATAACTAATTTAGATAAATATCAAATAATATAACAAATCAAAAAAGTATCAACCATTTTTTTAAAAAAAAAAAT